GATGCGACTTCGTGTGCAAGTCCTCACATGAGGTTGAACAGATGACGGCAATTTGATACATATGGACAGCATGTATGAGCTTTTGACTTCGACTGAATTTAGCTGGATTTGGACGGATGGGAAACGCAGCAAAAGGGGGTATGGAAATATACGCTCCCGTGCATACAGTGGGCATGTGCTACGTTTCCTGCATGTAACTGGCATGGTGGCTATGCTTTGATGTTTTTGACAATACGGTTGGGCAGAACTCTGGAAATGATGCAGAACGATGTGGAGACATCTGAATTTGAATACAGAAGCATGGAGATTTGGTTATTTTTGGATGATGATGTTTGACATCAACTTTTTGGAAAAGAACTTCGTTTTCTGTGAAATTCATTTGCACTTGATGCAATCTGGACAGCAAATGAATTTGGGATGAGTTTTGGTGCGAACGTTTTTGAGGTGAAGTTTGACGTCGTTTATCAACTCCATGTGCATGATGTTTTTCAACAATCTCAACAGAATGTTTTCTCAACTGGACTGCATTTTCGTTTCTGGAAGTTGCCAAATGTTTTTGCCAACGTTTTCGATGTTTTTGGAATTTGACAAGAAGATGCGAATGGACAGAAATATTTTTGGAACAACATGGTGAATTCGAACAGGTCGAATTCACCGCCTTTGAGTGAGAAGAAGTTTATGGAGACTGTTTTATTCTGAAGTTGTTGTGCATGCCGCCGCTGCCTTTTTACAACAGAGCAGACCAGCCAGAACAAGAGAAGTCAAACATGCAAGCTGCATGTGCACGACATAGCTGGATAGACAGCTTCCTTGCTTTGTTTTCCGGTGTGGAAAAGGGAATTGAGTTTTTGCAGTGACAGCCGTCGTGTTTTTGGGTTTTAACTTGTTAAACGCTCGACGCGGAGTTAAGCCGACCCATTTCGACGCAAGCGCACGATACTAGTGGTTGTAATTAGGCCCTGTTGGATTTTCGCAGTTAACCCTATTGTGTCTAGTGGCAAATCGATTTGTGTTTGGTCTGTGTTGGGCTCTGGCCCCGTTTCCTTTGTTGTTTCGCTGTTGTTTTTCGTGGCGAACAGCACATCTGGCGGATTTGCGGGTCGTCTGGTTTTTTGTCGTTTTTGGTTTTGTCTGGTTGGTGTTCCGTGTGGATTTGCCCTCATCTCAAAGAAACCATTGTGTTTCGTGTTGAATTTTTAATTTCAGGACCGAGCCAATTTCAGGAGCGAGCCTTAGAGCGGTATCGGCCGTACCAGAAGAAAAAAAAAATCTGCTGCAGCAATGGGATTTGAAACTTGCTCAAATTGCCTCAAAGCAACATGACGAGAAAGGGAAATAGAGTCATGATCAAGACAAGCAGGTACAAGGGGCTAGTTTTGGGTTCGTTTTTTGGCACCTGAAATTCATATTATTTTTGGAGACGGAGTTGGGGCCTCCCTGTACCTCTGCATGGCACTTCCCAGTTAATTGATTTGCGACACACGCTCGTGACAGGCAAGCACACCTGCACAGTGATGCAAAGTATTGAGGCAGTTGTAGTGTCGGTCTCGGACTCTCGGAACTCGAGCGCTACTGTCCACCTCTTTTATGATGAATGCAAACATTGGACATTACAGCTTAGCCCTCTTCAGACATTATGCGGATTATCCCTGGTGTGCGAGTTACCTTCTTTGTCGGTCCGGGCAGTCCGGCTGAGCCCTGACCCTTCACTTCCACTATTTGACGTTTATTGGTCGTGCCCCCCTCATTGGAGGGCGTCAGATCAGAAGTATCGGGGAACACTTTATGACTGGTGTTGCTTTATACACTGCGCAGTTGACGGTGAGACTCACTTCATTCTGACTAGGGACCTACAGTTTTGACGGATGCTAGAAGAAGCGCATCTGAGAGGACTCTAAGTGGATCAACTTGCGAATGTACAGACCGTTTCACATTTTATTCTTCGTCAGTGTTGCTGCACAACTGTCCAATCTCCGATTGTTTATCGTGGAAGAGCTACTAATTTGTTTTGAGTTTCTGTGCATGCTTTTGATATGGCATAGAGGGATCTCTTCCCTCTCTGTCATCTGGCAATTGTTGTTTGTTTGGTTTTGTTTGAGCTCTGGCAACGTGTTTTCACAGGTATTTGCCACATTTTGTTGGCACCAACAAAGCTGCGTGTTGAGCCGTGTTCCCCATGTTGTGTGCACGTCGGGCCCAACTTGGTGCGAAACTGCCACCAGACGGCGCCAGGTTGCGCCAGGTTGCGCCATGTTGGACCTGAATTGGACTTACATGTGCATAGTGTGGCTTCAATTTGGGGTCAATTTGGGTCGCTTTGGGCCCAGCTTCAATAATCAGCACAGTGAACACATTTCTTTTAGCAGCGCTGAGACTGTACCACTGTAGGGTTGGTTCATTCAATTTGTCATCGGTTCTTGAATTTTCACGGCTCAGCACGTTCGCCGCGGGCAGAGAGAGAGAGAGAGAGAGAGAGAGAGAGAGGCGAGAGAG